GAATTAAGCTTAAGATGAGTTTTAATCAAGTTTGGCCACTCCTAGCCTTGGTTTGACAATATGACCGATCCCCATGCCACATGGCAGGTGAAGTGGCATGGGACAAAGGTTTGAGTGAATATTTGAATGGAGTTTAAAAGAATTAAAGATGATTTCAACGCATGGAAGGAGAGACCAACATATGATAGATTTGACCACTTTTGGTGGTTTGACCAAATCAAATCAAATGTAATTTAACTTCAAATGAGTTAAAATGGGGTTAAGAACTCGAAGAGTTAGATTTGATTGAGTGGATTATAATGACTCATTTGAACTCTTAAGTGCTCATTAGGTCAACCTAAGTTGACTGGTTCAATGGGGTGGGTCCAAACTCAACAAGCTCAACAAGTTTGATTTAATATTTTGAGACTTTGAGAGAATCCCAAGATATGATAAGGTCAATTCAATCAAAATGATAGTTTGAACCCTAAAGGGCCTGTTTAATCAACCTAGATTGACTTTACCAACCATATTTTTAAATCTATTATGATGCATTGAATCATAAGTTGAAAATGGCATATTAAAATCTAAATAAATATGATTTTATTTCTGACATGTTAGGGCCGAATAGGAGGATTGGGTGAAGTCGACAGTTGGAGTCAGCAAGCTCTGTTTGCTAGAGTGCCTAGAATATATTTTATTTCTGACATTCAATATTTCATAATATTAAAATTTTAAAGGTTAAATATATAAATAAAATAATACATGATTGTATGTATCTAAATCTCTTTTTTTTTTACCATTGTGTAAACCTCTATGTGAGGGAGTGAGGTCTCAATCTAACCCAGCCGCCCCTATTCCAACCTTTCATAAGAATGGAATGACAATTATACCCCCCAAACCATTAATCCAAAGGTTGGTTAAATGTTTATTCATTTTTAACAGTTGGATTAGAAACTACTTGATTTCAAGACATAGGTTGGGCAAAATTACTCTTGACCTCAACTTGACATTAATTTGAATAAGATGTCATATTATTTACTTATTATATATATGTATTTAAAAATACACTTTTATCTAAATTTGATAAATAACATTTATTTGATTTTAAATTAATCATGAGAATTTTACAGTTTAGCAAAATAAGACATAGATTAAAAAAATTTACGCATGATAAACATATGCTGCAGATGACATTCAAACACACACAGACAAATATGTTATCAAGGAAATGAAAACATGCAACTTACCCCTTTATAATAAGACAGATCGACAAACAAAATGCACTAAGATAATGTAAATAACCGAGATTAACAAAATAAATCAACAGTGCATAAAATTAAACTTATTTTAATAAGTCTGATAATTTGCAAATGAATAACAACTGAATAACAGCAACTACACAACATAACTCCGAATTACCAACTCACAACAACAAAACTCCTATTAAAACATCAAATGAGTAAAAGAGCAGCTGAAAACTCATTATAAGATAATTAATTCACAAGCTAGAAAAAAAAAATAATAATAAGGGATTTGAGCCGTCTGCAAAGGGTTAGGGTTAGGCCGTTCGGATTTTTCTCATTATTCTCCGACAATAATAACAAGTATGGTTGGTTGGCTACATGAATTTTTTTTCTCCATTGTGTCCAATTAAAGATCAAATTCCTATTTAAATCTAATAAAAAAAATCATTCTTAATATTTTATAACCAAGTTCTTTTAAGTATATCTCTACCTTTCTTAAGATAAATTAAATTTAACACCTCTACTTTCCTAACCTGATCAAAAACTGTCATTTTATGTGACCAAACCATCCAAGGCAACTAAAACGATAAAACCCAAAATCAGTAAAAAAAAACCAATCAAAACCCCAAAATCAGTAAAAAAAACTATCAAACCTTTCACAAAACAAATTGAACTAAAAACAACAAACAACAAACAATATCAAACCTTTATCCCACTACATGTGATCAACTACATGAATCTTTTTTCTCCATCGTGTCTTATTAAAAATCAAATTCTTGTTTAAATCTAGTATGTAATATTAGATATAGGATTCATGTATTCGATAAATTTTAGGGTGACTGTCGCAACCCTATACCGCAACCCTCTACTTCTACTTTTCTCATTGGCAACGGCAGTGCTAACAAATTGAACTAGAAAACCAAAAAGAAAAAACAATTAAAATCTTATTTAAAAAAAAAATCTTAATAAACGACGGAATGAATTTTGCAAAATATTACGCCACTAGGGAAGAGATATGCAGAGCACTTGCAACAAGAAATCACGAAAGAATTTAGCTAAGCTTGTCAGCCTAAAGTAAAAATAAAAAAACCAAGAAACATATTGTGAAAACATATGTTATTATCAAGAGTTTTATATATATATCTATCAAAAGGCATACGCAATTGAGCTAAGCTTGTCAGCAAAAAGTAAGAATAAAAAAACCCTGAAACTATGCAAATTAACAAGTATAAAACTGAACCATGAAAATTAACTAAATTTCTAATAATAACAAGTGTCGATAAAATAAGAATTAATGCTACAATTCAAAAACGAAGCTACAAGTGACTTAAATTTATAAATATTTATGTTTTATGCAAGTGCATGAATAAAATAACGATACAAATCATCAAAATATAAAACATCAGCTTGATCAAGTAGGCTAAGATTAAAATTTAAATGAACCAACTCCTTCTCAATCCAAGGATCCTAGTGATGGATTTAAATAAGCACACCACTTATATAATATTTTATTGGGTCCACATAAAAACAATTAAGCCCCTTCATATAAAATTAAACTTTTCATGGAGTGCATTTGCATTGGATGTAATCTAGGAAAAATCAAATCGCGTTCAGCTCAACTCCTGCAGCCACAAGCCCACTAAAGGTCCGTATGGGATGGCTGCATTTGTCAGCAAAATAGATTATAAAATAAATGAAGTTGCAAAAAAATATATATTTTAGCTTGAAAAATATAACTATAAAACTAATTTACTGCAACTGTATACAAATAATTTACATTACTACCCTCATCATCATGCATCTACTCCAGATCTAATTCTTGCTCACGTTGAAAATAAAAAATTCTGAAATCTTGTTCAGTATATATCCTGATTACATTTAAAATCAAAATTTATAGATACTGACAAAATTTTGTCTAATAGGAGAAATCAGATCTATATCTTGCTTGCATTTGAATACCGAGAGAAGGTCCATAGCCAAAACCAGCTGCCACCTCTAAAATTCTTTCAATGCCCACTCTGTTCGTATTCATCCTCAAACATCCATATGATCCTCATCACTTATAAGATCGTCCACTCCTTAGCCACCTCAACGAAGATCTACAATTTCATAGTAATTACTACAATACATCGATCATCACCCCTCGTTTCGTTGATTCCTCTCCTTTCACAATTCTAATCCCCTTTCCATTCGCAGATCAGGTTCTAATGAGCAATGTTAAAGCATTGTCAAGTACCATATCATCATCACCATCACCCTGTCACTTCTCTTTTTTAAATCATTTCAGACAAACTCACACACATAACATATATACATAAACTTAAACCTTAGACCTCTTAATTGAAAGCTCTCAAGTCTCAACCAATAGGCCAAGCATTTAATCACCTTCCCCTTCTTTGCCCTCCACCTCGACATGGATCTTAGGTACACTCTAGATTGGTCTGGCCTACAAGGAAACTCGCACTCTGGCTCTCTATTCGAAATTTTTAAGAAGAGGCTGCCTGTGTAGTAATTAAATTCTGTACAAACTGGTCAGAATGACCAAGTAATTATAACACAAACATCTTTTACCCGCCCATTACTACCAAACACACTTATGAGTCCGTTGGCAACTCAGAACCAATCACCTCATCACAAAACTTTATTCTAAAATTTCATCAATCAAAATAAAAGACTTAATCACCTCCTCACAAAACTTTATTCTAAAATTTCATCAATCAAAATAAAAGACTTCTCATCAATCAAAAGAAGAAACCTTTTTACGCTTAGAACTTTAAACAAGCCTATTTAAACTTCTGTTGGAAAACATAATTAAAACAAATTAGCAACGACTACAAAAATTCCACAACATATCACAATCTTGAAACCACTTGAATGAAAATCCATTGCTACATATATGACCATTTAAATGAATAAGTTAAATTTAACCTTACAAGGCAGCAAT